CTGCCGAACTTTGAAGGCGGTGTGCGCTGGTGCGTTGTCATGATGCGTCGCATGTGGAGTTCTTCCTTTAGAATCAGCTCACAGGTCCCATAGCCTATCCCAACAATGTCGCACAAGACGTTGATGGTACGACGTCGATCTTCGTAACATTTTCGGGCGTTGTGCTCGAAGATGGTCGTCCAGAACGCTCGTCATCATCGACAGAGGTTCGGCCATTTTTAAAACGTGAATGCCACACAAAAGTTGGTGCACGACCCATTGCGGACTCCCCAAATGCTTGCTTTAGCATTTCACAGGTTTCCGTAGCCGTTTTGGCGAGTCTTTGGCAAAATTTGATGCACACGCCATTCCGAAATCGCAGGAGGGTCGGTGTAATGCACTACCAAAACGCCCGTAACTAAGAAACAAATGCTAATTCGATGATGCCGGCTGGCACACTGATTCACTATGAATGTAGGCCGCACCCCCTAGCGGCAGAAGCTCGTACTACATCCGGTTCGCCCTCTATTGACACAGTCTTGAAACTTTCCGATCGCACCTCGTAAGAGACACAAGCAAGACTTCCTTTGAAAGAACCACTTAACAAATTTCCTACAACCTTCGTGGCGTTGTGCCTCAGCAAATTCGCTTGAAATGAAAGACCATAAAGGCTGAAATCAGGAGAAGCCTGCCAACTTAATAGCCACATTAAAAAAACGTGATTTTGAATAAAACAGTCCTATTAGCAACATAGGTCCAATGAGGGAGTCGTGGTAGTTCGAAAGATTAAGACGTCTCATAAATACGTAGGCTTAATAAAAATTGCCATAATAATACGAATGCGAGACTGAAACAAAGTATTATTTAACTGAAAATGTTACGAAAACGGTTCAAAGTGTCAGACGGCGTGACGCCGCTACGTACAGTGTTGCCAACCACTTCAGCGGAATATCGTAAAGCACTGTTTTAAATAAAACCGCGTTCAAATGTGCATTCAAGTACCAGCCCGACATACTGAACACCTTTGTGACGTTTCATTTATTGTAAATTATTTATAAGAACCCATTATTTCCGACATCATGCTTTGTTTTCATATTGCCAAATACTCTTAAACGTTTCTGAACTTGGCGCAGGTTATCTGAGCTGCATTTGCTCAAGATGACTTGTTCTGACACGGTAATTATGATTAACTAGAAATTATAAATATAACAGACGATTACGTGTAACCTAATTACCCAAAGGAGATTTTGTATAATCGCTGATTATCTATAACTTATTACGTTCCATATCCAAGACGTTTGGCAGATTCCTCTTCCATAATGGCAAATGGGTTTACTAATGAACTTCGAGATCAATCAACCCACAAGAATCACTGAATCCATGGCTTGAGTGGGATTCGAGCCCACGGTCCCAGCGACCACTGCGGACCCCTTACTTTAATAAAAGTTATACAATTGGTGTGACAAGCAACTAACAGACACAGGTATGAAACAGTCAAGCAATCCACGATTGATTCCTCACAGCAAACCAGAAGGATATGGGAACCAACAGCTGGCACAAACTCGTAAAAGTGCGTCTAATAAGGGCGGCCACTGAAGAATATAAAATTTCTTTCAAATGTTCGGCGAAGTCACGCCACGTCACGTAAATGTATCTGCCTGCAGAACAAAAGTAGCTAACGAGAAACACCAACCTCTGAAAACAGTTTATCCCGTATTACTGGTAACCTAATTCTCCCTAAGGCAACGGACACGTGGTAATGTAACACGCGTAATTTCTCCCACACCCAAGTACCTCTGGCATCGGTGACCCGAATTTGCTAATACCTCGCCACCCAAGAAGGCGAAAAACACGTCTTCACAAACACGCGATGCCCGATCACACGCCCGTCAGTCACCCGGAATCCTTAATTCCTGTCACTTACCGGGGGCCATGCCGAGGAAATTCAACTACTCTGAAGCGGGACGAAGATTTCTTTGACTAATTAGCAAATACCTGAAGAACTTAAATAGTCGAGGCGGTGGATCACTTCCGCATGGTGCGCTGTACTCGCGTTCCATGAGCACAGGAAAGAGGGAGGGGGAGGGTGGTTGATGTAAGGGGGGGGGCAATGGATGCGAGGGAGAGGGGGTAAACCCTGACCTTGCGCCACTTCACCTTCCACTGTGAGCGGGTTGGGGGCCGACCAGTAGGGTGTAAAGAGAAGGGGGGGAGGGGGAACACCCACCCCCTGTTACACTACCCACGTGACATAACATTCAGATGCAGCAGCTGGGGGAAATTCGGCAACGTTGTGCCAAGACGCCGGCTAAAAACAGATCCAGTATCCAGCATCTCTCGTACTGAGGGGAGCTGGACCAACGTTGTCAGTCCGGGGAATGTTTACATATGGTTCGACCATAAATGGGTGTTGTGGGACGGAATACGGGTGAATGCATCCAGACATGCAGCGGGAATCAGGCTCGGCCCACTCCGTAAGTCCACAGACCCCCGGAGGAACGTCTTATCTTCGTACCTTTGAACCAAACGTCTTCAATCCAATGACACCACGAAAACATTTACTTTACAATCTGCTGGCATCTTTATTTATTTCTGATTTATCTGACGTCGTCGGTGGGAATATTTTATAGAGCCGATTTATAGGAAGACAAATGAATGACGAACAACAGATTGGAAGCGAAACGAAAATAGAGAGATTGTTCGAAACCATTCTTCAGGCAGGCATCAGACAACAACGCCTTGTTTGCGTAATATTCAAAATACAGAATATGGCAAAAAAATTTACCCTCGAGTAAGTTGCAGGATGAAAGTCACCTCAGTGCATGGACACAACCTGAACAGATTCGTAAACACCGATTTCTGATGTAATACAATTTGCAGAAATACGCATGCTCGCAAATTACAGACAACATATTCTTCAAAGTTACCAAATGGAAATAAAAACAACCTAATTTCACAGGAGCACAGTATATAAACCAGGATACCCCCCCCCATTACAAAACACTAACACCTCAGTTCAACTACAGTAAATATCAGAGAAACTGAACTACTTCCAACAACACCATAACTCATTACAATATTTCTAAAAATTTTCTTATATTTTCTGTTTCACAATGCGGTTTCTCCATAATTTATATTTTATTTCATAAAAATCTGTAAATATCATGACAGAACTCATAATTACACACACTTTTTTATAAATTTAAGTGAGATGATAAGAAATTCCTGGGACTTCACCTCTACATATTAACTGAACGAACAAACTAACTAACTAACAGGATTCTATCTTTGGTGCTTTAGTTGGATCGTTTCTTTTACCACAACTTAAGACCAAGCTGCTTTCATCACAGAAACATTTAAATTTAAAAAAAAAACAACTACATGTACCACCCACATTAACATTTAATAAATCTTTATTTTCCCCAAAGAGTGGATTCACACAATCCTCAGAATAAACAGTCATTATTTCTCTAAACTGATCATCGTAATGGAGATGGACTGTTGTTGCTCTGAGGTGCAAACTAAATTTTAATACATCATTTAAATCTACTTCGCCTGCGAGCGTTAATATCTAGCCGAATGGAGTAAGGAATCTCTTAATCTTACATAAACAAAATTCACACATCCGATTTATTTGTGGCCGATGACGTCTCTTGGCTTAGCTCTCCCATTACTTAACGCATAAAAATATCGGACAGTAAATTAGTACAGATCATAAAAAAATCCTTGAATTAATATGTCCACCAAACTTTAGCACAGCAAAATGTCAATTCTTTTGAAAACGTAGCTTTGTTCCCTTGTTGCTCGATCCTGAACGTGATAACGAAACACTGCAAATCAGCTTCTGCACAGTTTAGCGTAAGATTTCACCGAGCACCTCCAAGAGGCCATTTTCTGTATTGTTTTCAAGAATAAAACAGTACGAGCATCAGACATTTAAAAGATTTCTCTAAAATGTTAATCTGTCAGTTATGCAATGACACAAAAATTTCATTCACCAATGAAAATATTCTTTTCAAACTGATCCTGCATTACAACAGATTAAACAGTTAATAAATCACATTATTTACTTTCATTTCTTACATTTTTCTCCTTGAAATACTGTCTCCGTGCAAGGCGGAAACCACAAGCTTACAATTTCATTTAATCATTTGAAAAGTTAATTAACTCTTTGAAGATGCAAAGGTAAAATAATGGGGGGGGGGTGGAAAATCATAAAATGAACAAAGAAGTTTTTGATTCACAAAGTTAAAGTTCGATGACTCTAAACAAAATAATAGGAAAATCTAGACTCCAGTATCGCTAACACTTTAAATACTGCAGTTAATTTTATTTGTATACAGTTTAAATCTAATGCACAATATTCATACTTATATAACTGCTTTCATTTAACAGTGAAAACAGATATTCAGTAAAAAAAGGAAAGTTTATTTTAATTCAAATCAAGGAATGTAAATAACTATTATTATGACTCAATTATATATTTAAAAATTATAAATGTTTCATATAAAATTAAAAACTCCTGTTATTAAGTTGTCCAGAATCATATTTCCATAAGAGTATGAAAACTATCATCACATAATACTTACAAGAGTAAGAAAACTGAAAAATATTTTCTGTATTCCACCAACAAAGGCTTGTATTTGTACTTGAATTTAATGCCTATAAGAGATTTTCACACATTTCTGTGAACTGAGCTGGAATAAACATGCCAAGAAAATAATGAAAATCAAATGACAGCAATTCACAGTGAAATGCTTGTACCAACATGTAAACACTAAATTAACTGACTACTACAAAATATTATTACAACATAAACCCACTTTTCATGTTTCAAACACCTGTAACCTAGCTGTCAAAATAATTTGTAAGCAGAGATTTCCAAAACTAAATATGCATGGATACCATTACTCACTAATCAATAACACTGGCACAAGCACTTCACAAATATTAAAAATTCCTTGTAGCAACCACAAGGAATTTAAATTATCTTGTAAACCTAAATACAAAAAAAAACTCACCTTCACCCATCCTCCATGGGCAGTGACGAGGACATATAGGAGATAGAGGTCTATTTCACGGCCATTTATCTGGGGGACTTTCCGAAATGGTGTCCTACAACCCAAGAATGAAAATATGACATCATTAGTCTCCAAATGCACATACATTGAAATTATATCACCTAACTATAAACTTGTCAACAGCCGAAACAAATTACAACTTACCCACGGGTTTCGTGGAAGTGCTTTAAGTCTCGTATAAAACCATCACGTTCCCGTTGGTATGTGACTGGATCCTTGTTGAGAATTTTTGCCATATTAACATGAAATCACTGTTGTTTACTGCATCACACGTGTTCCAGCGACGCATTTATACTTTGAGAGGTCCGATACGCGTGACGCGGACATCGGGAAGAGTAGATTCACCACAGAAAGATAGCAGTTGGGCCCCAACCGACGAAGGGTATTGTTCGACTCCCGCACAAGTAGGCTAGACTCACTTTCCAACTCCCTGTGCTCTCTCGACGTTGCAACTCAGTTCTGACTGCGATAATGCGCAGATCGCTTGGAGCAACTGAATAATAAATTTACCAATTGGAAGAATTAGACACCCCATTTTTAGAACCTCTAGTATTTTGTAAATGTAATTCCGTTAACACACGTTTTACCGGCACTCACAAGACCAACCTTAACGCTTTTGTCACAGTGTACAATGTCACTCCCGATCAAAATGGCGTCGGCCATTAACACAGAAATATATCATATATCCGGAACTGCTGAGTGAACCTCGGGCCACATAAGCAGGGCGCGCTATATGGGGTGAAAAGTAGTAGCATACACTGCAAAACTAAAAGCATATATGAGCACCCGAACCAGAAGAATTAATGATGCATTTGCTGATGAAACGTGGAACTCGCTGTTGTAAATCGTAAATATGTTTCACTGACCCACCACAGATGTCGCTAGTAACTGAGGCAAGATTATTTTGTACTAGTATTTCCATAAACATCATCCAAAGAGAGGTTAGAAATGGAACGAACTTCAAAGATTGCATAATATAATTCGTATAAATCGTTATCTCTACCTCTTCCAGTGTTGTTATGTGATTACATAATAAGAATCAAGATTTGTACAAAAAGGAAATAATATTCAAGTTAGATATTTAAAATCTTATACCTTGGTTTATCTTACATTAAGGAACATCGGAAACACAGGAAGTAGAGACCTCTGTAGGGACAGTGCTACAGACCATTTTGTCGTCTTAAAGTACAAGAGTTTGCACGTGGTAATTTCCATTTATATATAGTATAATAGTCCAAGATCGGTTATGACTTATAAAAGGAAAAAATATCACTATGGTGACACACATCTACGGAAACGATGGAGAACAAAACGAAGAAGAAAGGATCTGGATGAAGTAAGCTAGGGCATCTCATAACCTCACCTCATGGCTACATATGAAGTCACATATAGGATTTTCAGACAGAACGCTGATGTTTGTGTTTCATGATTGATTCGAAGACTAAAATATCGTATTAACTGAAGACATTTTTGACGTCGGGATTTATATTTTAAATTAAGTATCAAGAGGAACCTTCTACGAAACATCAGCATTAAGTTCGATAACATTTTTTGAGTTTAACAACATCAGAGGTAGTTCACCCTTGTTGAGTCCATGTTACACAGTGAACAATATACAGATTCATGCCGCGTTTTTGAAAAATATTATATGTAATGTGACATTCGAGTTTCTTAGAGCAGTGAAGATATGGTGGTGGCCTGAGTTGTGACACCGTGTGGACTCGGAGTGGGTACCAACATTTCGGAGTAACATGCTGCATCGGTCTTCTGCAATGAAGTGAGGATGGACACAGTATTTTCTTTAGAAATGTTTATACTCATCTATGAGTCCACATGGCATCTCAACCCAGAAAACCAAAAACTGTCATTCATGGAACTGAGTCTGTCTTGCTATTTGGAGAGCCTGCTGACTGGCTATACCCAAGATTATTTCTTTAATTAGTTCATTCTTTTTCCAGGTAGATAATGACTTGAAGGAAGAGAATGCAAGAAAGTTGCTGAATCAAGAAATTGATCTAGATAAACCAGGAAATTCTCAATTTTACTGCCTGCATTGTGCGTAAGTAGTACCCATATTCACACCTTAAGTTGTAAACACAAGTATCATAACTAACTAACTAACTAGATGGCTTATGGAACCCGTAGGTTCATCACCGAATTAACCAAAGCCCTCCACTGGACCCTGTCCTGGGGCAAAAACACAAGTATCATGTTAACATTTATTTAATTGAGAATGTGTGCTTACAGTATGCTTATGCATTGTCTTCAGCTTCATCAACTGTATGAAGTGGCCTTCTGAATTACTCAACATTTGAATGTTGTCTATGTTGATCTGGGTTGTGACACCATTTGGGCTCAAGGTAAATACCTATGAATCCATATGGCAAATGGTGGAAACCATATGTTCCCCTGAAATGTTGATGTCTGCCTATGAGTCCACATGGTGTGAACCCAGAACCTAGACATTTTCACCATGAGTCTTACATAATGTATGTTGTCTTACATTTTTAACCAGCCAACTATACTCGGTTATTCAAGGAATTCATTATGGAATGTCTTTTTTCAGACGATACTTCATCAATGACCAAGCACTTAAAGAACACTTCCGTACGAAGGTCCATAAGCGTCGAATGAAAGCCTTGGAATTAGAGCCTTATAGTATTGAAGAATCTGAAAGGGCTGCAGGCAAAGGCAGTTACCTCGCTCCAAAAAAGCGGAAGATCGAAACTCAAACACCAATAGATGAAAAGGCACAGACAATTGAAGATGAAGATGTAAAAATGGTATAAATTGTCTGTAGTTTTTTCAGATTAAATAACTTTGAACTGTTGATTATGTATACATGAATATCTGATATATTAATATGGCTGTTTTAATGAAACTGGTCAGGTTTCCATTACGGCATTGTAGGGCATGTGTTAGAAGTTTTGCGTCTGCTCTTTACGTTACTGGTGATGAAGCCAAAGGAATGTTTTCTGTTATAACTCCACATATTGACGTAGAAGATAAGTTTAAGGAAATGTCTGCTTTGAGACGAAATGTCGAGCTTCGACAAATGCAAGTTGATGTAGACAAAGTAAAGAGCATTTGGGATGTCTTGAAAAGCATGGAGGCAGACAGAAACACGCTAGAGAACAAACGTGTAGATATAGCAAAGAAGATAAAAGAAATAAAGAGTAGTTACAATGATATAAAAGAAGTGGAAAAATTAAAATTACACGGAAAGTTGATAAGAGAAGATTTGAAAATGACAGTGAAAGCTGTTTGGGAATTAGAAAAGAAAGTCATGACTTTGGTTTTGAGTTTACCAAATAATCTGCATCCTGACACTCCAAGTGAAGATGCAAAGATTGTAAGTCAATTTGGAAATGCGTCAATAATGAAACAGACCGAAAGTCACGTGAGGATAGGGGAGAAACTAGATGTATTAGACTACTTCAGTTCGATGTGTTATTATCTGAAAGGGGATGCTGCACTTTTTGAACTCGGTATACTCGATTATTTCACTGGAAAACTTTGCAATCATGATTTTGTGAAATTTTGCAATTCAGATTTTGGTCGAAGTGTAGTGGTGGAGGGTTGTGGACTTGACCATGAGGATCCCAGTGTAACATACATCCTTAAAGATACAGATGACATTCTACATACAAAAGATGTTAATCGCTTACATTTGGTTGGCGGAGCATCTCTGCCATCCTTTTGTTCCTTCCATGCAAAACGAATTATACCTATTACTGCTCTTCCCTTGCGATTAGTGGCCATGGGACGTCAGTACAAACCTAACATACAGAGTCTAGAAGAGACTGATTTCGAAGGATTGTTTGGAGTCAGTCAAGCTTCGTCAGTTGAGCTGTTCATTTCCACAGCAGATAATCTCAGTAATATGATGAATGAATTTGATAAAACTGTGGCAGCTGTGACTAATATATACAAGGAATTAGGTTTTCCTTTCAGGGTTGTGTACATGCCTGCAAAATCTTTGAGATCATATGAAAGTTTGAGAGCCAGCTTCCAGATGTATTCATTGTATTTGCAGTCTTATATAGAGATAGGTCATGTTTCTGTTTGTGATGATTATATAAGTAAACGCCTCCTCATTCGTTATGAGCTAGAAGCTGATCAAAAATTTACGCGAATTGTGTCCGGAACTGTTGTATCTGTACCCAGATTGCTAGGATGTGTCTTAGAGTTGCACAACGAAGCCAAAAGCTTTGGAAGCATTCCTATCCCACAAACAGTCAGACAGCAATTGTTCTAAACCTGTAAATGACAGTAGTAATAGCAGTGATGTATCATTATACCATATAAATGACATATTCCTTCTTATTTTTTGTATTACATAAATAAAAAGTAAACCTGAACTAATAAATAAAGTAAGCTTCTCCAAGACTTTGTGTGTGTCTATATGCTACTTGTTACATTCAATGCTGATTGTTCTAAAACAGAATTTGAAGTCGGTAGGAAATAAAGGATAAACTGATTTGTGAATTATTTAAACTTTATCATCTGTGCAACACACTTTATGTGTGATTGGCTCGCTATGTATCACAATAACATACTGCTAACCTGTTATCTTTGAAGGTAAGTCTGGCTGACAGCCACATAATGTGGGATTTCTTCTTCTTCTATGGCTCTCCGGTCCGTATTCGGTCCATGGCCTCCTCCATTCGGTCCTCTGTTAGGCCCATCCGTCCGAGGCTTTGATCGAGGTTTCGAAACATCTTCCTTTTTACGGTGCAAGGTTGTTGGCCTTGCGACCAACCCCCAACCTGGAGGACCAGGATAAATGTCTTAGTCTGTTGCGACCCAATCTGGCTAGGGAGGCCCTACCAGTAGCTATGCTACCGCCAGCATAGCTCTTGGGGTCACTGAGGTACTCAAGCCCCACCACCATGACAAGGTGCAGGTACCATTAAGTGGGGTAATGTGGGATTTAGATCCCCTATTTCAGTATGATAAATGTTAATGATACTGTCAGTAGCTCACTACATAGTGTAAAATGATGGGATGAATAATGAAATGGAAGGAAGCAGTCATGGTCTAATCTAAGATACAATCTCAGCATTTATTTGGCTGGACTGAGGAAAATGACTTGAAATCTCAGGAAAGATGGTCTGTGGTCTGAGATTTGAACTAGGAACTAACCAAATGTGAATGAAGGATAAAGAAGAGGTTTGAACTGATAAATTCATAGGTTACTTGATGAAATTTTTTTGGAGAAATTATGAATGGTGAACTGGAAAGGCTGGGGAGAAAGCATTTGGTGGCCATTTTGTGGTTCAACCCCTACATTCATGTGGTCAGGGCAATATGCACATGCTAAGAGTCAAACAAACTACTTTGCACTCACATTACTGATGATGATCATCTAGGTTTTGGCGCCATGTGGACTGGTTGGTAGATGTCAGCATTTTGGAGAAACGTGCTGTCACCATCTTCAGGAGTTAAGTGACAATGTCGGGAATCGGATTATATAGGTTGGCAGGAAGGGGTGTCTGAAGAAATGGGGCAGTCAGGATGGAATGAGGTAAGAGATTGAGCCAGGCCACTTCATCCCGGAACATGGAGACAGTACATTTCTCCAAATTTCAGCATCTGCTGACCAGTCCACACTGCCAAAACCCAGATCATCACCACGACCACCATGAAAATGTCAAATTTCACTAGTTTTCACATTACTGGCTTAACATATTCTTTATGTATATGATATTTCAGTAGAGAGAGGTACATATAAAACAGAAGAGAATGCAACTAAATGTAAACCTAAACAAATCACAATAAACAGGATCACCAAATAATGAAACAAAATATAATTCTTTTAAATATACTATTTTTAATTTACACTGATAAATAGCATACTGCTATAAAAAGAAACCAAACCTGTCATGAACTTAAGAATCTATGCTCACATGAGAGCAACTCTATTTGATCCAGTGTGTCTGATTGTTCTTGCTGGGTATCTCAGTGGTCACTACGTAGATTGTGGGGTGTGCAGTGGTGGACAAGGTTCCAGCACAAGTTAAAGAGTCTCATATATCCATTTCTCTGGAGATATCCAGTTCTCTTCAGGTAGCAGCCATAACGCTGGCATGTCTAATAGCGAGGCAAAACTATACATGCAGATGAAGTAAATGACATCAAGAGGAAAAGAACTTACAGATGAATAAGAATTTTGTATTGATTTTCTTTGCACTGCTCAGTTGGAAGCATTCAAAGGAAAACAGATGTCACGCGTTTCTCCTAGAATGTCATGTTCACAGAACTGAGGTCTATCCCTCATGTATGTACACAATTGATGTGGTACCTGTCATTAGCATAAGCATGTATAGTAAATATTGTGTCTCAGTTTTCAAAACATTCTACATGATATGTGAAATTTGTATATCCAGATTTAGATTCATACCTGGAATCCTGAACTGTTAATTCCACTATTTTGAATCTGTTGCCAGCATGAAGTTGTTTTGCTTTGGATTTTCTGAGAACTGCTCCACTGAGCTCCTCGAGGGTCGGTCGACATATGCAGCAGACATCAGCTGGTCGTTTCTTAGAAGATACATCTAGCACCTGCACAGAGAACATAGATTAGTAAAACACAAATCAGCGATGTTAATGCTTGAGATTTTATAGATTGATTATTTTAGACTTTTAAAAATGTATTCTAAGAAAGTATGCTGTGTACAATAATGACATTTGTAAGATATGTAGGGTATAATTTAAAGTTTTAAATAAGTTTATGGCTTATGGAATAGTGTGTATCAGAAAGCTAGCATAAATCATTATTCTTCAGTTAAGGCATTTCTGCTGCAGAATATAATAGTGATAAAAGGACCTTAAAAGTGATTATTGGAAATGGCAACAGAAAATGTTAATGTCTTGCCATTAGTCATTCCCATTACTAACATAACCAAACTTTCATTATAAATCATTCTGATGTTCTTGTCTTAAATATTCCATGCCACTTACTTACCTGTGAGGTTTATTGTACTAAACATGTCTCTTGTAAGTGCTTGGATTCCTCATGAAGTCAAACCACAAATTGAGCAAAAGCAGGAATATTTTCTAGAGTAAGAACTTCTTTCCAGGCTTTAACTGATATCCAGCTCTGATCTGAATTTTGTGCATTCTATAAGAAATAAAAAGGAAGCTTTTCAACATTTCTCAAGGATAATTATGTACCAACGAATTAAAATAAGGGTTTAAGTAATAAAAATAAATTATCTTATCAATCATAATATATGGTTACTACTAAACTAGCATTTTTGTCCCTTTCAAAGAAATTAGATGTTAATATGTATTTTAACCACTCGTACAGTAGAACCGTTGGTTCTTTCCATTGAGCAAGTATTAGAGATTAATTAATACTGTCTGAAAACAGTGTACCAGAGTAATCAGACCCAAGAGAAATGCATTACCTTGGGAATTGTGGAAATTATTCTACATAAAATTCAGTGGCTGTTTTGTAGGTCTCAGCAGATTTATTTCAGCACTCCCTTTCACCAAAGGCCAAACTGCATGATCCATGCATTCTTCAGATAGTTGCATTTTTGCTTCCAGATCATCACCCGCACATTGAGTTGTCTGACAATTACAGTATCCTAGGATGTGTACTAAGAAAATAAGTTAAGAATAGTAAACTTTACCATGTTTATCTTAGACTAGGCTTCATTAAGGATTGCCTCAGTCTTGGCCTGATCATCTCTGGTAACTGCAAGTGTAGCCTTCTTGGGGGACCACTGACTTATTGACAAAGTAGTACTTGTACATAGCATGCGCCCATAGGAACGGTGATCTGCATGCCTCGGAAGTCTGTAAGAAAAGAGCGAAACATTATCGTAAGGCAACAAAAATGTTGAACTTGGAAATTATGATTACTTCTTAAATCCAACATTTTCTTTTGCGTAAACAATCTTTTTTATTTGTGATGTTACGGTCATCTACCAATATTTCCACCGTGGTATGCCTTTTTATGACAGAGCTTCCTGCATTCACGTCTATCCCCCCATCAGCATGTCTTGAATCTGTCCATCTTTTGCTAATCTATTTTATGCCTTTCCTTGCTTGGTCTCGCTTACAGTTTTTTATTCGGTTTTCCATTTATATCTCAAAGAAATTATGTTCTTAGTTTCTGTAGTCTTTGGGTTCTGACTCTGTGACTTGTAGGTGGCTATAAAATATTGGTAACCACCTATCCAAACCCAAAAGACCACCATACATAGCAAACAATGTAATTTATTGTATCTCATATTGTGGTTATTTATTCACTTTCTTTATCAAAGACATGTCTAAATGGCCAGTACAAAGTCTGCTGACTAGTGAAAGAGCTAAAAGAAAACATTTTACATTGAGTATAAACATAATGGGGTTACTCATTCAATTACAGAAAGGTGCTTACATGAAATGATGAATTTCATGCTTCGATTTTCATACTTTGTCTTTTTCTAGGTGGAACCACACAGTGTCTTTTGTTCACATTGGTAGAATTCGAAGGAGCGCTATGGATGTCCAAAATAAATGGAGAGAAGGCAGTCTTGATTCTTGCAACATCTATCAATTTCAATTTTCAGAAATATGACATGTTTTTGCAATTTATGCAGAAGGAATTGTACAATGGAATTAAGAAACAACTTGACCTATAATACAATATCGAGTCCAAGTCAACATATCACCGGAACTTCAAAATAGAAATTAATAGAATTTTAATTATATATTCACCCTCTGTTTATATACCAGGCTGTTGTTTTCCTTTTTATAAGGATAATTAAATCTTAAGTAATTTTACTGCAGACACTTCAACACGCTGACTAGCTATATCAAAGCCATGTAATGTGTCACAAAAGAGAATGAAAGAACCAAGTGTTAAACGATTTGGAGTTAGTGACAACTGTAACAAGATAGTATAAAACCCTTTCGTACGGAATGAATGCTCTGAAATACCTTCTACTTCGTGGAAAAAGCAGAAATTGAAAATACCTGGAAGTACAAAGAGGCGTTACTAGAAGTGGAAAACAATGAATTCATGAAAAGAAACTGCCCAATTTAGGTTAGGTCTGTAGTTTTCATGTAATATTATCAAGGCCAATGAGGAAACAAAATCTTAGACACGCAGTTAATGATAAAAATAGAAATGTATGCAAAACTATCAGGAAATCTTACTCACGAATGGGCAGCTGGAAATTCAATAAGAAGATATATTTGATACATTGGTTCTTTAGGACCTTTAAAGCACAATGGTAACTACATGCAGACTCACCGCCTGTTTTTACATTCAGTTACCCAGTATCTTGTTCACAGAATACATTTATCAGTTTCGTATGATACAGAATAAACTGGTTATTTCCCTAAGCAATATGATCTAACTGATTGTCATAATAAAGACGCCTTGTGTTTTCTCTGAGGTAAAAATTGAAGTTTTAGAACATTATTTAGGCGAACTTAGTTATTCGTGGACTGGGAGGAAGTGGCTTTTTTAGGACCAATTAGGGGTTCTAATATTATTGATAATGTGCCTTCGGTTATTTTAAGTTGAATTGTTTACTATGAGTTCAGGCAAGATGTTAAGCCCCTACTATGGGCCGAATTTTTAACGGCAATGTCTGGTCTGGTCTGTTGCATGCATTAGGAACGTTGATAAATAGGATT